CTGGGTGAGGGGCTGATGGTTGTTTGCAGGCTGGCCACGGCCCCCAGCCACCCATGCTCCCAGTGGAGGCTGGCTGGAAGCAGGTATCTGGGATGTATTTATCTTCTATAATTGAAACTTTGTTGCCTTGAGCAGAGGCCACAGGCAGGAAGCTTGGCTTCCTCCTTGGCTTCCTCCATCGCCAGGGCAACCAAGCCTTCTGCTTGCTCCAGCTCCGTGGCTACCGGCCGTCATCTTGGTTGGGATAATTTGCATATAATTACTCTAATTGGCTGGTGGGCATGGCTTGGGGCATAGCGGAGGTGCAGTCAATTTGCATGTTTCTCTTATATTAGATAACTTCTAAATTATGTTGCACTTTTTCATTTATAATCATAAAACTATAAAACATATCTCAAAATCCAAGTAATAGAAAAATGGAACCAGAAAATTTATTCTCTCATCATTGATATTTCTATCTCTCTCCCTTTCTCTTCCTCTCTGAAATCAATATATTTATATATATAAACATCAGTGTGAGAGTAGATCATCAATTGGTTGTCTCTTGCATGCCCCTATCAGAGATCAAGCCTGCAACCCGGGCATGTGCACTGACCAGGAATCAAATCAGTAATCTTTTGGTGCATGGGATGATGCCCAACCAACTGAACCACACTGGCCAGGGCTTGATTTTAACATCATTCTGTGAATTCTAGCCAAAGCCATGATATATAAATTTATAAAGTAAATAAAGGGTATAAAATGAAAAAGTTAAGAGTAACAATTTTCATTTTGGCAGAAGATATGATGATATACCTTATAAGGTGAAAATCCATTAGAAACACTGAGCTCAGGAAACTGGGTGGTTACATGATAAATATTCCAAAACAAAGAGCTTTCCTGCATGTCATACTATATAATAAAATCCTAATATGTAAATTGACTGTGTGGCGGAACAACTGGCCTCTATGATGTGTGCTGACCACCAGGGAACAGACGCTCAATGCAGGAGCTGCCCCTGGTGGTCAGTGCACTCCCACAGGGGAAACGCTGCTCAGCCAGAAGCTGGGCTCATGGCTGGCGAGTGCTTTGGCGGTGGCGGGAGCCTCTCCCACCTCCAAGGCAGCGCTAAGGAGCAGCGCTGCTCAGCCAGAAGCCAGGCTCATGGCTCGCGAGTAAGGTGGGCGGTAAGAACCAAGGGGTCCCAGGCTGTGAGAGGGATGTCTGACTGCCGGCTTAGGCCTGCTCCCCCCAGGCAAGCGGACATCCCCCAAGGAATCCCAGACTGCGAGAGGGCGCAGGCCGGGCTGAGGGACCCCCCTTCCCCAGTGCATGAAATTTCATGCACCAGGCATCTAGTTTATAAATAAAAATATAGTGAAAAAGTTCTTATTCACAATAATAATAATATAGGTATGTATTACATAAATAAGATGTATGTATTCACAAGGAAGAACACTATAAAATTACTCTATAAATCTATAAACATTTATATATGCTCAAATAAGAAGCATTCCATTTCCTGGATGAGAAAACATGTCTTAAACATATTGATTTTTTTCAAATAAAATTATAGTACTAATGTAATTCCAATCACACTTGCCATATTGGATTTTTTTGGGGGGAGGGGAGGGAGAAGGTAGTAGCATGACCAAATTATGTATTTAGTATTTGTTAAGAATAAAAAAACTATAATATTTTAAAGAAAAATAATGCGAAGAGCCATCTGTACTAAAAAATAAAAAAAGTTGCAGTAATTAAAATAGTACATGCTGGGTCAAGAATCACAAAAGCAGCACTGTGATAGTCTATACCTATAATTTCAAATATTCTATTTAAAAACTCATAAGTGATCAATAAAACATCAATAATCAATGGTATTTCCTTATATTAGAGAAATTTTGAGTGACTGGCATTAGACAATTGGTAAAAATTTGAAAAGCTTTTATATTATCATGTAAAAAATAAATTTAAGGCCCTAACTGGTTTGGCTCAGTGGATAGAGCGTCGGCCTGCGGACTGAAAGGTCCCAGGTTCGATTCTGGTCAAGGGCATGTACCTTGGTTGCGGGCACATCCCCAGTTGGGGGGTGTGCAGGAAGCAGCTGATCGATGTTTCTCTCTCATCGATGTTTCTGGCTCTCTATCCCTCTCCCTTCCTCGCTGTAAAAAATCAATAAAGTATATTTTTTAAAAAAATAAATAAATTTAAGGTTCATTGGGGAGTTAAGCATAAATACTAAAATAAGAATATGTATTTTTAGACTTTTTCTCAAGAATTTGAAGACTTAAAAACCTAAACCTAGAAGTTAAGAGAAATCATAGTAGGAATGATGAGCAAATTTCGTAGCAAAAGTACATAGAAAGTCTGGATGTCATTCAAAAAGTCATAATCAAAATGTAAAGACACATTTTTATGGCAGACCAAGGAATAATTTTTATTATAATGTCTGTGTTATATAAATTGAAAAACATTTATGGAACTTAAGAACACAGATATCTCACCAAAGAAATATAATAAATTCATATGTATGAGAGGAAATGTCAACCTCACCAGTATGGTATGCAAATTCAAATAGTGAAAACCATTTTGTTTATCAGATTAGACATGACTTATTTTTAACATTAAAAACATTGCTGGCAAATGTGGAATTAAATAGGAAATTTTATACCTTGTCAGTGAGAGTGTAAGTTGGTATTATAATTTTAGAAAGCACTTTAACAGTATGTATCCGAAAAATATTTTTATATATGTTGAGCTAATATAAAGCAAGTTTTAG